CTCACACATAATGTGATTTTTGTGAACTGAATGCTCCTTATTTATGTAACACTGTGTTAGGCATTATGGGGATTTTGAAAAGCATAGAGATAATTGTGTTCCTCCGGGATCCTGAAAATAATTTCACTATGTTTTCAATTTGGCTTTGAAGAAAGAGGATTCTGATTAAAAAAACAGCAACATATATTTTATTTTCTTCATTTGTATACTGTTTTATTCTAATATTTTAAAAGATCTACTAGAGACATACTCATACCAGCAATGAATAATCATATGATACAAACAAAATCTTGCTCAAATGAATTAAGAACACAAGCCTATCCTCACATGTTTAGCATGTGATTAGAATGCCACAAACATTATTTTTTTGAAATGGTGCCAAATATTTAAGCACTTTCATTTCACTGGCATCTCTCTGCAAGGTATTACAATACCCCAAGCTTCTCTCAGAGTTCTTTTAATTAACATATTGGCTTGTGATTATAACTTGAACGTTGAATGGCTAGTCAGGGATTTTTTTTTTAAATAATTGGTAAAATAATGGCATTGTCTTTAAGAAATATTCAAAATCCTGCCAGTATACTGTTGTACAGGAAAAAAAAAGAATGGCTTTATGAATATATACAGAAGAATTTTCTTGAAATATCAAACTTCTTGCTTAAATTATTATTAGTCTGTGTTTGTGTGTTACTCTGGATATTTAAAACTGCAAAGCCATCAGCAAATGCTGATGCTTCCCAAAGATTTTACTTCACCAAAGAAATAGAATTAAGGTCAAAATAAGTCTTTTCATCTCAAGAGCTTTGGAATAAATTCCAATAGTGACCTAACATTAGGTCAAATCCATTATTGTCACACAGCAATAAGCAAATCAACACTGGTTAAGTTCTACACCAGGTACCACTTCACACCTATCAGACTGGCCAACATGACAAAACAGGAAAATGATAAATGTTGGAGAAGATGTGAGAAAATTGGAACATTAATGCATTGTTGGTGGAGTTGTGAAATGATCCAACCATTTTGGACAGAAATTTGGAACTATGCCCAAAGGGCTATAAAAATGTACATACCCTTTGACCCAGCAATAGCACTTCTAGGGCTGTATCCCAAAGAGATCATAAAAATGGGAAAAGGACCCACATGTACAAAAATATTCATAGCAGCTCTTTTTGTGGTGGCAAAGAATTGGAAATTGAGAGGATGCCCATCAATTGGGGAATGGCTGAGCAAGTTGTGGCATATGAATATGATGGAATACTATTGTGTTATAAGAAATGATGAACAGGCTGACTTCAGAAAAACCTGGAAAGACTTATATAGTCTGATGCTGAGTGAAGTGAGCAGAACCAAGAGAACATTGTACATAATAACAGCCACGTTGTGTGATGACTAATATTGATAAACTTAACCCTTCCTGGCAATACAAGGATCTAAGACAGCTCCAGAGGCCTTGTGATGGAAAATACTATCCACATCCAAAGAAAGAACTATGGATGTTGAATTGCTAAAAAAAAAAAAAAAAAAAAAAAAGTTCTACACCAGGGATCACCAGGAAAAGTCATTTGTTATTTATTTATCATCAATAGAAATAACATTCAGAATGAGAGAGGTAATAGTCCTGCTGTACTTTCAAGGTCACATTTGGAGCTTTTTTGTTGGTTTGTTGTTTTGGGTTTTTTTGTTTTGTTTTGTTTTGCTAGGCAATTGGGGTTAAGTGACTTGCCCAGGGTCACACAGCTAGTAAGTACCAAGGGTCTGAGGCCAGATTTGAACTCAGGTTCTCTTGACTCCAGGGTCGGTGCTCTATTCACTGAGCCACCTAGCTGCCCCTACATTTGGAGCTTTTTGCTTAGTTTATACACATGACATTTTAGGAACGATAATAACGAGCTGGATTGCATTCCAAGGGTGACCAAGATAGTAGAGAATATATCATATGAAGATTGACTGAAAAAATGAGTAATTCATAGTTATTATGAACAATAATAATAACTAGCATTTATATAACATTTTAAGACTTGCACAGTGATTTACAAATATTATCTTATTTGATCCTTACAACAATCCTGGAAGGTAGGTGTTATTATTATCCCCATTTACAATAATAAAACTGAGGCAGACAGAGGTTAAGTGACTTACATAAGATCACACAGCTAGTAAATATCTACGGCTGGATTGGCATGAGAGACAGAACTAGGATAATGGATGGAAGTTATAGAGAGGCAGATCTCAGATAGGTATGAGGGGGAAAAAACATTAAAAGAGCCATCCAAAAGTAGAATGAGCTGCCTCTGTATGTAGAGGGTTTCCCTTAAATGGAGGTCTTGAAGAGAACGGTGTATGACTACTTGCTGGGAATGTTGAAGAGGAGATTCCTGCTCAGCTACATGGGGTATTAGATGAACTTTGGCATCCTTTCTCATTCTAAGATCCTGTGATTCTACAGTGAGCCTTGAGATGTTATCTAAAAACATTCTTTTATCATGATAAATCACTCAATCACTGTCTGAGGGCCAGATAGAACATCAGGGGCCATTGGGGCAAGCCTCTTATTTTAGAGATGAGGAAATTGAGATTTAATGACTATGAGTGATTACCAAACCTACATGTCTAATTCTGAAGGAAGCTAGAATAAAGAAAATTCATCCTCTGATCCAGAAATTATTAGGAATCAAATAGGTACAATAAAGTTTTGGGGACATGGTCCTTGATTCACATATGTGAAATAGATACGCAGATATACAGTCTGCAAAATCCAAATTAATTCACATTACACTTGTCTGTTGTATATAATCATCTCGTATTCTCTCATAGTAAACTTGCCTTTTCACATACAGATAAGCTACACTGGGGTATTTTAATAGGAAGGTAAATAATCTTTAAGGGAGAAAGAATAGAGACAGGAAAGCAGGGGTATGAAAATTGAATTTTGTGGAATAGACACATTTTTATATAAGAGAAGACAATCATGAGACTATCTACTCCAAGCTGGAAAGGACTTTCAAAGACATCTAGTCCAACTCCTTCATTTTATGGATGATGAAATTGAATCCAACAAGGGTTACACGACTAGCTCAAAGTCATACAGGTAGTGACAAAGTTGGTATACAAACCCAGATATCCTGACTCCAAGTCCAGTGCTCTTCCAATGGCTAACTATCAAAGGGGACAGAGAATTATCAGTCAAGTAAAAGGAGAAGAATCATCAGAGTGATAAATTATAGAAACTAAGGAAGGTTAGATTTTCAAAAGCCAGATATAGGAAAGAGGATATTATAGACACCAGTGTCAAAGGCTGCTAAGAAAAGTCAAGGAGAATAAGTATTGGAGAAATATCACTGGATTTGACAATGAAAAGGTCATTCTTGACCTTTGAGAAAACAGTGTTAGAGAAAGAAGAGAAATCAGGAGATTAAGGAGAAAATAGGTATTGAGGAAACGAAGGCAACTAAGTGGTGTAGTGCAGAGGCATCAAACACATGGCAGGAAACATTCCCAAGACTGGCTTGAAACAGATGAAAATGTAACTGGGAAATATTTAACAAAATAAAATTGCAGTAAAACACAGATAATATTACATTTTAAAACTGCAGGGATCCTTACGTATAGATTAATCATTTTTATTTGAGTTTGACCAACTGGCATAGTAGACAGAGTGCTAGAACTAGAGTCAGGAAGACCCAAATTCAAATCCAGGCTCAGAAATTTATTAGCTTGTATGATCTTGGGCAAGTCACTTAACATCTGTTTTCTTCAATTTCTTCAATTGTAAAGTGGGAATAATAATAGTACCTACCTCACAGAGTCATTGAGAGGATCAAATGAGATAATATTTATGTTATTACTGTTGTGGTGGTGGTTGTTACTTAGAAAAACTACTATAACATTGTTCACTGAAGCCTGGGAAAGGGAAAAATTTGTGAAGGATGGGGACGTACTAGCAATCTACACATATCTGAAGGGATTCCACATGGAAGGGAGATTAGAGTTATTTTACTTGGTTCCAAAAGGCAGAACTAATCAACAATGTGTAAAAATCAAATAGACAGTATATGTAAATTGAAGAAAATGTTTCTGGCAATTAGAACTATCCACAAGTAGAATGGAATACCTATAAAAGTAGTGAGCTCCCCATCATAGGAGGCCTTCCAATGAACATCTTCCTACCTCACTTCTGGCTCTTAGATTCCCATGTTTCCTTCAAATCTCTGCTCAAGTGATACCTATAATACAAAATTTTTCTGGATCCCTCCAGCTTCTAGTGCTCTCCTTCCTCAAATTTACTTTGCATTTTTTAGAATAAATGTATGTGTTCAGAGGTTGTCTACTCTGGTAGAACATAAGCTCCTTGAAGGGTAAGACTTTTATTTTTGTCTTTGTATCCTCTACTTTTAGTACACAGTAAGCACTTAATAAATACTAGTTATTTGTTTGTTTGATATTCATTCCCAAAGACTGATATAATCATTGGTAATTTCACAAGAAAAAGCAGCTTACAAGTTTTGTGAATATGAACACACAACCTATATAAAGACTGTATTTCCAAATGACAATATAAATAGGGAAGAGGAGAAAGGGAATAGAAATGAGCAATGTTCTATAGAATACTTCATAAAACAGCTTTGCTCTTCTCCCAAATCTTAGCACATTTCAGGATAAATCCTGGCTTATTTCAAAATATGGCATATCTACAAGACCATTAAAAAAAAGTCCCAATTAAGTTACCGCAGATTACTTATATTCTTTTTTTTTTTTTTACTGAAATTGATTACACCCTCAAAGTATGATGATCAAATCAAGTCACTTACAATTCACATCAGAATACATTAATTAAGTTTAAAGGTGTATTCCTGCAAGTTTTTCTAGGTTTGGAAAAGCAGTAGGGACATCCTCTCACCTATCTGCAATTAGTATCTCCCTAAAGCGACAATTCTGAGCTCTTCCAATTGATCTGAAGCATTTCATTTCCCATTGCCTTCCACTGATAAAGAACTTACATTTTTTTGCAGTGTGGGCATTTTGCTAGAGTGTTGAACCTCAGTTCCATCCACTGTAAAACAAAGAAAGAAAACGAGAGGAAAATAGTTGGAAAAAAATCAGACCTGAGAAAATATTTACATCACAATGTCACCAGGGATCACTGCAAAAACATCCCACTTCTCATGCTTTCTTAAGGCCTGCCTCCCCCAACTCTCTGCTTACTCCTTAAATGGAATAGCTTTGGCATTTTCCCCATGACACAGTTCCCATGACTTTCCCCAGGCTCTTTGACGTAATCCAGGTTCATTTTACAACCTAGGCTGAAGGGAAGTTTGTAATTAAGGTCATTTCTTTCAGTTTTAGGACTGTGCTCATTCCCAGTGGGCTGGGACAAACAGCCTGTGGGACTATCCCAAACAATGAACCTTTGCACCTAGTGACACCATTCATCCTGAAGGCTCCTATTCCCAGTTCTCTCTGCCCCTCCTCCTACATACTCCTCCATAATCTTTATAGTCAGTATTTTACAGAAGCAAATCTTCAGGACCCATACTGCACTGCAATGACCCAGTTTACAAAGCCATGAAGAAAAATAAGCAGAAAAGTCAGATTAGTGTAAGAGGAGGTTATGTTTGGCAGGGTATTTGAGAGGAAGCCAGGACCCTGCTTTTAGTCCAGTGCTCCTTTTAATGATGTCAACCAAGAGAAACTTACTACACCCCTGTTTCAAGTTCCCTACCTGTAAATGCAGAGATTGGGATCTGCTACTTATCTCACAAGGATGGTATTTAAATGCCTAAATGCTTTGTATTAATTAGCAATTTGTAGGGTTTCGAAAGAAGATAATACAAAGTTGCAAATAAACTATCATTACACCTAGAATATTAATCACCATTCTCTATCATGCTACCTTCCAATGAAAAGCTAGTTTCATTTACATTCAATGGGAAATTTTTTTAATAGTTCAGAGTTCTCCATCAAAGAAATTATTTTAGCTTTATTGAAATAATTCTTTTAATTTGGACCCAAAATTTATTTACCTTTTTTTTTTTTAGAACTTTTGGATTCTCATTTTCTCTGGTACTCCAAAGTTATACAAATGCAGATGTCCACACAATAGGAGATGTAGCTGAAAAATGCCTTTTACTGGGCATTTGTTATGCCTTGAAGAGGAACCTTAGGAACAGGAACAAACTGGTCTTCATTTGCCCAGATTCTTTTTTTTCTCTTTCAAGGAGTTAGCTAACCCTCAGTTGTTCTCTCTTCCTTGGTCACAAATGTAAGCCAACTGCCAATAAGCCCTGCACCTTCAATTCACAAAGAAGGGATTCCTTTCAATAGTCAAAAAGGTCAAGTCAACCTTCATGATTATAACACTCTCTTCCTGTAAGAAGATGTAATAATTTGTGTTAACTATTTTGCTGACATTACAGAAATGGTTTCACTGATGCTGTATCACAAATCCTCTAGATAATCAAATTAATTAATCAATAAATATTTATTAAGTCCCTATTATGTGTCAGGCATGGAGCTAAGCTCTGTGGATACAAAGTCTAAAGCCTAATAGTTGCTACCCACCATAAGCTCACAATCTAGCTGGAAGTGACAGTATGTACATATGTAGGTAGATACAAAATAGAATAAAGGTTATATATGGGAAAGGGATGGCATCAACATCTGGGGGGATGGTGGTGTGTGAGCTGAACTTTAAAGCAAATTGAGGATTCTAAGACACAGAGGTAAGGGGGAAGGGCATTCTAGGTATGAGAACAGCCAATATCAGATATTGAGTGCTGTGTGAGTGGAGAGTATATGTGTGAAGGTGAATAATACATAGTAACAATGGAAGTAGGATGTAGCAGGTCGTAAAAAACTTTAAATGAGATTATATTTTACCCCTAGAGGTAATAGGGAGCCACTGTGGTTCATCAAATAGGGAAGTGACATGCACTTCAGGAAATATAGTTTGACAGCTATGTGGATTACAGACTGAACTAGGAAGAAATGAGACAAGGAGACCTCTTGGTAGGCTATATCCCAAATAATAAAGGCCAAAGCTGTGTGAATGGAGAGGAGGGTACAGGTGGGAAAGATGTTGGGGAGGTAGAAATGAAAAGATTTAACAACTAAATGGATAAATGGGGTGAGATTGAGAAGTCAAACATGATACTAAGGTTATAAAACTAGGTAAATGGAAGGGCAGTGATACCCTCAGAAATTCAGAAGAAAGATGAGTTTTGGGGGATGGATAACAAGGTCTGTTTTAAATATAATGAGTTTGAGATGCCTTGCAAAACACTTTTTTCTGTAGCCCCTGAACTTAGCACAGTTCCCGGCACATTGTAAGTCCTTAATAAACATTTGTGTATAATTGGTAATCGAGTTCAAAATGTAAAATAGACAGTTGTTGATGTAGGAGTAGAGTTCAGGAAAGAGACTAAGAGTGTGTGCGTGTGTGTGTGTTTGTGTGTGTGTGTGTCTGTGTGTCTGTGTGTGTGTGTCTGTGTGTCTCTGTGTGTCTGTGTCTGTGTCTGTGTCTGTGTGTCTGTGTATCTGGAAACCACCAGCACAGAAACAATTAAATTCATGTGAGCTAATGAGATCACCCAGGAGGAGAATAAAAGAAAGAACAGAAGAGGGGCAATAGCAGAACTTTGGTTTATAGAAACAGTTAGGAGGCATGATATGGCTGATGATCCAGCAAAGCATACTGACAAGGAATAGTCAGAGAGGTATGAGAAGAAGGTAGTCAATAGTCTCAAATGCTGAAGAGAAGTAAAGGATAAAGGCTGACTAAAAAAAAGTTAAGAGATCATGGTTAACTTTGGAGAACAGTTTCAGTTGAGGAAGTTGGAACCCAAGTTGCAAAGGATTGAGAAATGAGAGGTCAGGAAGTAGAAATAAGGAATGTAAATAGCCTTTGCTATGTTATCTGGCAGATTGATTAATTTTTATTTGTTTGGTATGGCAATTTTATCTTACTGGATTTGGAATATTACATTTCCCACTTCACAAGCCATGAACTCAGGTATTCCATACCTAAGAAAAGAATGGCCTGATAAGTCAATCCTGGGACCACAAATCAAAAGTTGGGAGCTAAAATCCTAATTCTGCATCTGACATAGTTATTATGCCAATATGGAAAATTTTACTAATATTTGGAAAGATAATTGGGTCCTAGAGTCAAAGGACCTGGGTTCACATCCCACCTCAGATGCTTATTAATTGTTAACTTTGGGTAACACAAACACAATATTTAATCTCCTTCCTCATCCTTAAGATGAGTAGATTGAACTCAATGGCCTCTAAGAAACTGCCAGGTCTAAATCTATAATCCAATCAATTCAGGTCTCAATTTTGTTTCTTTTTTTTTTTTTAAGAAAAACGGTTGGAACTCAGTTAGTCTAACCTCATCTTTTTTCAGGTGATGAAACTGCGGCTCCAAAATGTTATAAAGTTTGATCAAGCTTACACAGCTTGTAAGTGGCAGATTAGATTCTGGATTTCCAGATTCCCATTAGGATTTATAAAAGGATGTAAAAAAGTACTTTCCAAAAAAATTTTCTCTTTAAAATGAATTTAAAATATTAAAAAGTCATTTATGAACTAATATAATCAGTTGATGTTTTTACAGTAAATACTTAATTCACACAACCAGCCACATATAAAAGCAATACCTTGTCTTCTGTCTTCCAAATACTTAAAATGTTCCATGATTTCATAGGTGAAGTTAATAACTGCACTGACACAGATCTCAACCTCTATATGCTTAAGCAGTGGTTATTCAAGAGTGCTGGAGGCCAAAATAATTCATTCTGCGGTGGGCCAGCCTTCTGGTAATGAGTCCCTTTGACTTCTGAACTTTAGCTGATCCTCAGAAAACAACTTATCATCTGAACTGTCCTTCAAACTTTTCTAGATTGAGATGACATTCCAGAACTTGTGTACTGCTGGCTTTGAGAACATCTGGTCACCTCTACATCACCATGTGACATTGGATTCCTCATTCTTCAGGAGACATTTCATCCCTTGCCACCCTTTCCAGTCAGTCAGTCAAGAAACATTTATTGAGCACTTACTTTACTTGAACTGGCCATACCTGGAATTCACTTCTTCCTAACCTCTGCTTCAGAGTCCCTTTATTTCTTTAAGATTCAGCTCAGGTACTAAGTTTAGCACAAAACCTTTCCTAATTCCCCCAACTGCAAGTGCCCTGCTTCCCAAATAATGTTGTATTGAACTACTTTGTGTTTGTTATTTATTCACTTTGTATTTATCCTGTTTATATTTGTATATGTCTTTTTCATTTCCTCCGTTCTAATGTGAGGTCATTAAGAGTACAGACTGTTTCATTCTTTGCACTTGAATTCCTAGCACCTAGCACAGTGCCTGGTATATAGTAGTCCCTTTATAAATAATTAGTAATTGTTTGGTCAATTGATACTATCTACCAGGCACTACACTAAGCAACACAGATGCAAAGAAAGTCAAAGACAGTACCTGCCCTCAAAGACCATCCCTTCTAATGAGAAGTCAACTAAGTACATAGAGGGTACATACAGAGTAGATGAAGGCAGTTTCAGAGGGGAAGTCACTAGCAGCTCTGAGGACCAGGAAAAGTCTCCTGCAGAAGATGGGATTTAGGCTGGACCTTGAAGGAAGCTAGAAAAACTAAGAGGAGGAGCTGAGGGCGCTATGGATGCTCAGTGCTGGATGCTCTCATGCCCCACATCTAATCTCTCATGCCCTCCAACACATCAGGACAGGGGAAGGACTCACCCTTTTTTAGCCCTCATCACTTAGCAACCTCTCTTCTTTTGAGGTTCATTCCATTTATCTACATCATTATACCTAGATCCTTGTTACTAAGCTCTAGGAATTGCTATGAAAAATTTCAGTTTCTCATTCAGTCTCCAGGTCACTTCCCTGCCTCTCCCAAGGGCTTTCAGGACTTCACTCAGTCTTTCTTTCCACTCTAATTCTTGTCCTCTATCTTGGAGGCTTTAATGTCCACAAGGATGTGTCTTCAAACACTGTGCTGTCCAATTTATCAAACCCCTTTTTCCCCCA